CGGCAGCGCTCAGAACGCGCCAGGGCAGCGCTTGGCGCTCAGAGCAGCTCCAGCACCAGCAGCGTTCAGCTTGAAGCAGGGCAGCACCGCTCACAGGTAGGTCAGTTTCTGGAAGGAGGCGGGGGATCCCCAAGAGCCAGGCAGGCTGCCTGCGGCAGCAGGCGGGGGGTGCGGCGGCAGCACGTGGCAACAGAGCGCGGCAGGGCAGAGCGGCAGAGTGGGCGGGAGCAGCGGCGTCACGTCGCAGCCCCGCGCTGCCACCGGGCGCCCCATCTTGCTCAGCCGCTTGTGAGCTTCAGTTGCTGGTGGGCTGGCTGGAGGGGGAGGCGTGGTCACCTGTGAGCTGGTTGGAGAAGAGGTAGAGGGTTTCCAGGGACTGGAGGCCAGAGGCCCAGATGGGGGGCACCGTGCCTGCAGGATGGGGGCAGCAGGGTGAGGGGCCAGCGGCGCAGTGGAGGAGGAAGAGAGGGGGAGTGGGGGTTGGGCGAAAGCGGACGAGCAGGCCGCCGCCGCAGCGGCCGACCGACGGCAGGGCTGGGCTGCGTGCGGCAGGGCAAGCGGCTGCGCAGGCACGCAGGGTGGCGGGCGTGCGCCCACGAACCGTTCAATCGGTTGTGGCTCAGCTCCCTGCAGGGGTGGTGGCAGCGGAGGAGACGTTTTTGATACACATCATCCAAGGTGGGTTGCGTTGCAGGTTGCTGCCATCCATGGCAGATGGGACAGCACAGATGAGATGGGGTGCCTGGAAGCGGCGGCCCATCCCAGCGGCAGCACTCACATGCCGGTCAGGGCGGGGAAGCCGTTGGGGTTGCCCCACAGCAGCGGCAGCGGGCCTGCACTCATGCAACCAAGCTGTCAGCACGCAGCCGCCTCCCTCAGCAGGCGGCCACAAGGGCACAGCTGCACCCTGGGGCTGCATTCGCCCTACGGCGCCGTCCGCCGCAAAAGCCGCGGGCTTGTGTGAATGCTGCGCAGACAGCTGCTGGGCGCCTGCAGAGGGCAACCCACCTGAGAGGTTGTTCCATTGCAGGTACCTGCAGCAAGGGCAGTACCGCCATGCAGTACCACCACGTCAGGCAACAGCAGGCCCGGTCAGCTGCACTGTGCCGGCGCCGGCCCGGGGCCGGCAGCCGAGCAGGGCAGAGGCAGAGGCTGCCCTAACCACCGGCTGGCAAGGCAGGCAGGCATTCAGCGCCACAAGCTGTTTGGGAAGCCCTTTGGCCTCACATGCTTTCAAGCTGCGTGAAAGCGCCGTTGCCACCCCAAGCCGAGGGCAGCACCCCTGCGCAGCAGAAGCCAAGCACAAGCGGCTGCTAAGCGCCAGCAGGTGCGGGTGGGCGGGCAGGCGAGCGTGCGAGGGGTGCGGCGGGCCGCCCCCAGCCAGCACACGCATGTACATGGAAGCTTGCGAGCTACGCTTCCTGCCCAACCGCCACCTGCCTGAGAAGCTCTGGTTGGTGAAATCCAGAGTTTGCATGGTCCTGCGGAAGGCAGGGAGGCACAGCGCAGACATGCATGCAAGATAAGCGGCGACAGGCAGCGCACACAAATGAGAGAGAGCTGCACGGCAGCCGGGGCGTCGCTGGGGTGCTGTGTGCTAGCGCCTGCCCGACCCCCGAACACGCGACCCCTCCCACACCCAGCGCACTTGATGCCGCCCAGCGCCGCCGCCAGCGTGCCTTGCGCCCGTGTGCCGCACAGGCCGTCCAGCTGGAGCGCGCCCGCCACCTGCTCATTCACCCAGCAGCCCCACTTGCTGCACGGCAGCCGGGGCGTCGGGAGGCGGGGGCGTCAGCAGCCGCGGCTGCGACCCATCGCCTGCGCGCTTCACGCCCTGCCCCCGCAGCACAATCGCGTCCCCTGCCTGCCAGCCCTTCCTGCCGCCGACTCGCCCCACCCAGCTGCTCACAAGTTCACAACCGTTCCGTTGAAGGGGTCGCAAGTGATGCCGGTCCAGGAGCACTCTGGCACAGGCTTGACCCAGCCGTTGATCCCATTGCTCACAGAATACGCTGGCCAGTTGGCGACGCCGTCGCGCTGCGCCAGCAGGCGGTCGGCTGCAGAGGCGGCGGGGAGGCAGGAGGCACGGTGTGCAGCGGCGGGTGGCAGGGGACGCGGCGGCGGCGGGCGGGAGCGGGCATGCGGCAGCGGCGGCAGGCGGCGGCGGTGGCGATCAGACAAGTTGCTTGCCATCGTCGTTCAACTGGCAGCGCGTAAAGCCCAGGGTTAGCACCAAGACCGCGACAGCAACCAGCGGCTGTTGCCAACGCCCCATCCTCAAACTGGGCATCCTCTGATGACATGGGAAGCGCGTGATGAAATGAATGCCCCTTTGAGCAATCGTACATTCAACAGCCGCTGTGCCCCGTCAGCCAGCGCACACAGCAGCGGTGGCGGCGGGTGGTTGGCGGCAGAGGCTTGCGGGGTATTATATCCGGTGGCTGGCCTGCATCATCATGGTATCGCCATACATCGCTGTTGGGGTCGCCCCTAGCGTCCAAAAAGCCTTCTAGAATGATAGAAATGATTGGATGTTACAAGTCGAGAGAGTGCCTACTTACTTTGTCCTACCTAAGTAATGGTCCTAAGTGCCTAAAGAATCAGTGTGGGGGCGGTCAACTACAAGCTGGCAGCCTGGAGAACCGAAGCGTCACAAAATAGCGAGGCGCACAAAGGCGCGGCTGCGCTGGGAGAGGGAAGCAACATGCTGCCAGGAAAGGGAAACAGTGTGCCCAGCCAGCAGAAGGAGTGGGTAGCTTGTCATTGCTGGACTGGAGTCAATGCCAGAGCGTGTAACTGCTTGTTGGTGTGAGTTTGGGTATGGGTGGTTTGGATGAGGTGCAAATTCCAGTCCCGGGGGAACCCCTGAAAAAATGGACCCAGGAATCCCAGCATCATAATCAAGAGGGAATAGCAAGTAGCAGGGAGAAAGTAGGGGCCCAGGCGGCCCGGTATATTGCAAAGGAAAAAGGACGGACCTGGAGGCGGCGCTCAGCTAGGCGGCACGCCCCACATCCCCAATGAAATGATCGTCCCCGGGAAATGCCCCATTTATGTGGTGCGTACGTCGGTTGTGCGTCAGCGGGTAAGCCGGTTGAGTTGGTGTGTGTGTATGCGTGAAGCAGGCACCATGTGCCGCTGTTTGTGCAAGGTCCCCAGCAAGGAAAAAAAGCCTGGTATTGTACGGAAGGCCCACAGCAGGCAGAGGGGGCATGGGTGGTGTTTTTGGTGAACGGGCGGTGCGGTTGTTTAGTTTTCGTTTGGTAATGGCGTGCGGGTGGCAGCTGAAAAAGTGCTGCAGGGGGAGGGAGGGGCTGAAGCCGTGCGGCATGCGGCGGGGGCCGGCAGCGCTGCGCGGCGGCCCCACAAAACGGCGCCGCATGCACGCGGCGGGCAGCAAGGCACCATGAAAACCCAGGGAAAGAGTGTGCTAGTCACTGACGTGGGGGAGAAACATCTACAAGCAAAGGGGATCAAAGATTTCTCTCCATGGCGGCCCAGATGGGAACCCCATGCTACTAGTTTTTATCGCTCGGTAAAGGGAGGTCAACAAAAAACGCGATGGCGGCAGGTTTGGATGGGTCGATCGGCTCAACAGAACAGGGAGACGCGCTTCTGCGTATGAAAGGGCAGGTTACGGTGACAATGGACACATTCAGGGCCACACCCTGAGCTCCCCGGGACACACGGCAACAGTCGTTTGGGCGGCGCTGCGACAAAGCGGCAGCGGCGCGGGGTGGGCGCTGGGAGGCGGCGGTGATAGTACAACACAGGGCAGCGGCACCAAAATGGGCGCCAGCGATGGCAGACAGACGGCACAGATGGGGGCATGCGTTCTGACGGCAAGGAGGGAGAGGTCACTGCAAGAAGAGGAATGGATAGACGGGGCAGGGTGGGGGCGAAAATTCAGAGGCAGCTGCTGCTGCTGCGGGCGTCTAGTCAGTCCTAAGTCCTAGCTATAAAATCCTAGCTATAAAGTCCGATAAGATACAAATAAGCCCGCAGGCGGCAGCAGCCTAAGAGTCCTGCACCAGATTTTGAAGGCCAGCAGGTGACGCCCGCTCAACACAGGCGAATGGCTTTGAAAGGCCGCCCCCACGGCTGCCCTGTGCCGGGGCCAGCCGGCGCAGCGGTAGCGGCAGGTCGCCAGCAGTCGTAAAGGAGTGGGGCGGCGGCAGAGGCCTGGATGGTTCGGTTGACATCGCGGATGATGGAGCGAGTGCCTGGGCTCTGCGGCACAGCGGGGAGGGTCGGGCAAAGGGAGGCAGGCACCGAGCGTCAGCCCCAGGTCAGCCCCTGCTGCACGCAGGCAGCACACAGCATGCACAGCAACAAGCATGAGTGCCGGCAGCTGCACGGCGCGGCATGACAAGGCGTGGCTTCGCTGGCGGCGACGGCGAGCGCTCTCACCCGCAGCAGGCTGAAGGGCTTCACCACCAGGCGACAGGCGGGCTTGTCGATGCCCGCAGCATCTTGCTGTGGCGACTGGAGCCCGCTGCCGCTGCAGCCAGAGGTGCAGCCGGCAATCGGCGGCGTGCCTGTAGCAGAAGGGGTGGCGGAGCCGTTTGGCGGTGCATGAGATAGTATGTTGGGCACCGCTGCTGCTGGGTCAAAGCAGACCCAGCACTGGGTCTGGTGGGAATGCTCAGCACGGCGATGCAGCAGGCGCACGGGGTGCACCTGTGTGGCTGGTCAGGCAGGGGGGTGGGCCAGGTGTGAAAGAGAGGTCTCTGGCAACCACCCGCAGGCCCGCCCTGCGCTGCGGTGCTCCCCGGCTGCTGCTGCCGGGTGTGGCAGCAACGTCCCCGCTCTCAGCCGCCGCTGCGCAGGCTGCCGCGGCTGAGAGCAGCAGCAGGCGCTGGCGCTTGCCGCCAGCGGCCGCACCCGGCGCGTGGCGTGGAGTCGCAGTGTGTGGAGCTGGTGCCACTGTTGTGGGTGGACCCTCCCCCTCCCCAAGCTGAAGCCGGGCGTGCCGCCGGTGGGTACCAGCCAGCTGCGCCGCTGCGGCTGCAGGCGTGGCATCTGCAGTGGAACGCTTGCGGCAGGTCTGCTGCATGCCGCCCCAGGGAACCAGGCTGCCCGCCAGGGTCGACTCTGCCACCACGCCGGTGCCGGCCGGGGCGGCCAGCGCAGCCACCTCTGCCGCAGCCGCTGCCAGCGCAGCCACGATGTCAGCCGGATTGGGCGGGCAGTCTTGTCGGCGGCAGGCTGGAGCCGCGGCTGGGAGCACGTCGAACAAGGGGTCGTGTGGGAGGCAGCCTGCACGCAGGGCAGGTGGGACCAGCAGCAAGACGCGTGAGCCAGGCCAGGCCGACCCGGCAACGCGGAAGGAGCGAGCCAGCGCTGAGCAAGAGGCTGCTCAGCTGCGGAGCTTGCACCGTGGCGCAGGTGGCACGCATGCGCGCGTGCGGCACGCAGCCATGGGCGCAAGTTACGCCGGCGGCGGCGTTGTTAACCGGCACGCATTCTGGGCAGCAGCGCTGGTCGGAGCGGCCCGATGCAGCCCCATCGCAGTCACGCTGCCCACCTGGGTCGTCCAGGCTCAGCAGCGCCTGGCACTGCGCCAGCATTGTGTCGCGTGCTGCGGCCGCCACCTCGGCTGCGGCAGCGGGAGAGATGGGAGGCAGCGGCGCTGCTGTTGGTCGCCACTGGCAGCAATGGCAGGCCAAGCACAGATGTTGCATGCGCGCAGGGTAGTAGAAATTTGTGTGGCGGATTGGGCCCAGGCTCAAGGGGTGGCTCACCGTCAAGGGCTTCCTGCAGCTGCATGTCGGGAGGGGCATGGGCATCGCAGCGGCCCAGCACCGCATGTCGCTCCACTGCTGCCACCTCATTGGTCGCGCCTGCACAGCGCAGGCGTGGCCCAGACCATTGTTAAGCTGCTGGAGAGGGCAGCTCTGGGGTCACAGCGCCCTGGCCCAAAGGGGTGAGGTTCTCATATGGCCCCACCCAACACCACCGCCGCCGCCGCCGCACGGCGCTCACCGTGATGGTGCCGCCGGCAGGGCTCCCCAGCCGCTGCCTGCCGCTGCCGCTGTGCGCCGTTCGACCATCCCCCGTCACTGCACCAAGAAACAGGGCGAAACCGATGGGCGGGTGCCTGGGAGAGGAGAAGCCCGCAGGTGTGATGGGCCAACGGCTAGTCGTGTTCCGCCCCCAGCAAGGGCCCGGCTTGACGAGCTCGCGGCTCCAATAGATCCCCACTCACCAATTGCGATTGGATGCACCGCCTCCGGGGCTGCAAAGGGCTGGAGGTGTCATGGCAGAGTTGCATAGGCTCTGCGGGCTGCGTGGATTGTGATGGAGCGCCGTCTGGCGATACTGTGGCTTGTGGCACCAAGAATTGGGCGCTGGGCGTGTATCAGCGGCTGGTTGGGAGGGTTGTGCAACGGGCAAGTGAGTGCAGGTAATCGGCAGGCGCCCGATCGATGCAGAAAACGGCAGTCAGACTCAATTCAGAATCGATGGTGATTGGCAGGTGGTGAATCGGCCCCTCAGAGACGGGCGGACATCGGGGGAGGCAGCGGAGGAAAGGGGCCTACGTGGCAGGGGTCAGGTTTTCAAAGGCAGGGGATCGCCTGGGGCCCAAATTGGGGTGCACGGGTCATGCGAGATCGCCAGACAGCATTAGGCATCGCCGGCCCCTCAGCCCCTCTGTCACCATCTGTCGCTGTCTGCCGATACCCGGCGGTCGATGGGGCCGCCGTCAGACAGTGTTCAGGAGGTGTTCAGCTACCGCCTGCTAGGGCACCTGCTACGACTGGCTGTGATAACCTGGCAACATTTTTAGCGCCTCCCCCAGGGTTGTGCCCAGCGGCTGGAGGCGGTGCTGCGCGAGCAGCAGCTGTGGGACGACGAGGCCAGCTGCTACACCGGCTACGAGGACACCTGGGTGCGGCAGGAGGAGGAGCGCGACCTGCTGATCGCCCGGCAGCGCAGCCCAAAGCCGCTGCGCCAGCAGCGCACACCCACGCACTCGCGCCAGCCGCGCCGGGGCGCGCGCTCAAGCCAGAGCAGCGCCAGCACCTCCTCCAGACTGCCTTCCAACTGCACTACTCCACAGTTGCACTATGCATTCAGCAGACGGCGGCACCGCCCAACAGGCAGGAACTGGGGAAGCGAGGCAGTGGGGTTTCCAGACAGCCTTTGCAACACAAGCAACACAAACATGTGCCGAGCGAGAAAGCTATTCAAGCGATTGGTTCTCTGCTGCTGCTGCTGCTCACGGTAGGGGGCGGTGGCCGGGACACAGATCCACGCGCCCCATGTTACAGGCGGGTGGGGAGACAACAGCGCTGCCAGCGCTGAGAGTGTGGCATGCAAGCAAGCATGAATAAAGAGTGGTACGAAAAGCACGAGCAGGGCCCGAAGGCCAGCCACATCACCGCAGCCGCTCGCGGCGGCGTCGCCACTGGGCGCCACACCCGGGTGCCAGCGGCCCAGCGCGCCGTGCTGCAGGGCGGGTGGGGGGGGCAAACGCACAGGAGCAAGCAAGAGGACGATCCCGAAACCGCACAGAGTGCGGCCTCTGGCCGAGGGCGGCAGCATGACTGCCGCTGCTGTGGCGCTGTACAGCGGTACAGGGCGCCGCTCGCCGCAGGCAGCAGAGAACAACAGTTACTGTGAACATAAGCATCGTAGTTACTGCATCGTAGTTACTGTGAACATAAGCACGTAAGCATATGCCGGTTACGAGGACGCTGGCAGCTGGGGCGGGGGCTCCTGCGGGATCGGAGCCAGAGGCGCTCCTTCCTGGGCATTTGGCATGTCCACCAGCGTGGCTGCGGCCCCAAGCGTCGCTGCATTTGCAAAGGGCAGAGCAGAGAGCAGGGGCATTGTGTGACTGCCATTGCGTAGCAGCCAAACCGGCCTCCTTACACCCTACTGCACTGCAAGCACACCCCACCAGCGGAAGGGCTTCCAAGCAGGTCTCACCCGAACGAGGTGGCACTGCCGCGCCGCCGCTCGACCCTCCAGCTGGCTGCGCTCCAGCGGCGGCTGCAAACAGGGAGAGATTGAGCCCTCAAAACCAGATATCCATGCATTACAATGTTCCCTCTACGCAAATCTGCCATCAGCAGCTGGTCACCATCAGCAGCGCTAGCGAAGCAGCCCTCAAGCACTCGGCCCAGGCCCTCACCTACGCCCGACCCCTGCGCATGGCCGCTGCCACCCTCGGCAGCTGTCTGTGCAGCGGCAACTGCACACAAGTCGGGACAAGCCTGCAACGTAACGAGAAACCCCACACAAAGGGCCGCCACCCCCGCAAGAGGAAACCCTCAACACTCACCCGGCGGCTGCGCCGCGTCGTCGCCCGCCGCCTGCTGCTGCTGCTGGGTGGGTTGGTCAGCTGAGCCGGCGGCTGATTGGCGGCGCGGCGCGGCCGCGGCCGCAAGCTGTCTATTGCAGTCGTCAAGCCGCTGCTGCAGATCCCACTGCTGCTGCTGCAGCTTTGCCACCAGCGCTTTCAGCTCCGCGGCGTCCTTCTCCTCGCGCTTGCGTTTCTGCTGCTGCAGACGTTGCATCAGGCCTTCATTCTGCTGCCGTTGTTGCTGCAGGTGTTCGATCTCTTCATCCCGACTCTGCACCAACTTTTCTAGTTCTAACACCCTGCCCTGGCAGTTGCTGTTCTCCTGGTGAAGCTGCACAATCTGCTGCTGCAGCTGCGCAATCTGCTGCTGCAGCTGCGCAATCTGCTGCTGCAGCTGCTCTGCTGACATCCTGCACAGCCAATGGCGGAGCAGTTCAGTGGGGCGCAACCGTCTTCCAGGTGCGCCACCTCCCCCTCGGCGGCCGCCCAGGGGCCGCCGCCGCGCCGCCGCTAGTGGCCCGCGTCCAAGGGCAGGCTGACGGCGCAGCAGGCCCGTCGCAACCATTGGGCAGGAGCAGCGGGTCGGGCGGCCAGAGTGCATGGTGTGGAGGAGACCCACCTGGGGCGGTGCACTGTCGGTGTAAGCTTGCGCGGCAGGCGTGTGAACGCGCGTTTTGAAACAGAATCACGGTCCTCCAGCTCCTCAACTGCGAAACGCACGCGTTTAGGCGCCATTCTAGTGAGTCAGGACTCCAGCGGAATTTCAGATGGCTTCGGAGGGGTTTCTACTGTAGATCCACGTGCAAGCCAGCTTCAGCCTCGCTCTGCCTGCTGACATGTCATGACATCACCACCCGCCGCCATCACTGGCGGGGTGCCTGTACGGCGCATCAGATGCTGCTGGCCTGTGCTGCGGCCACCGCTGCCACCACCTCAAGCATGTGCGGCATTAGGTTGGCAGAGGGAGAGCCAGGCAGCACTGCTAGCATCTGGCAGGCGGTCACAAGGACGGTCGCCAAGCCGTGCTGTAGGCGACAGCGGCGCTGCTGTAGTGTTTGAGCTGGTTGCCATGCCTGGCAATCAGGCACGGTTAGCAGCAAGGGGAATGTAGGCCAGGTGGAAGGAGTGTGCTGTGGAAAAGCATGCAAGAAGCGTCAGCTGCTTGGGGCAAAGGGAGGGTTTCTCTTCTCAGGGGATCGCCTCTAGGATGCCCTGCCGCCCCATGCCCATGCGGTTGCGCGATCGGGTGTAGCCCGCGCTGGCCGCCGCCAGGCGCGCCGCCATCGAGGGGTCCCACTGCGCCTGCGGGCCAGGGGAGCAAGCCCAGTGGGGGGGTGCCTCAGCAGCAGCCTCACGCAGTTTCAGGGCCCACCAACCCAGCCCAGAGCCTGCCGGCTCCCCGCCCGCCATCACGCACGTTGCACACACACATGCCGACCTCCCCGCCCAACGCCACCGCCGCCCCTTGCCTGGTAGCGGGCCAGCTGCGCCAGCGGCCGCAGGATGGCCTCCCGCACCGCGCCGCCGCGCGGCTCCAGGCAGCCCAGCGCGCGGGCTGCCGCCTCGCAGGTGGTCAGGCACCCCTCCATGGGTTCCACGCGGATCAGCAGCGGCCCGTCCGCCGCTGCCTCGGGCGGCAGGCCCGCCGCCCCGCTGGACGCCGCGCTGCCTGCCGCCGCCGCCGCCGCCCCTGCATCGACGCTCGCCTCGGCGCTCGCCGCGTCCTCTGCTGCTGCCGCGCCGCTCGCCTCGGGCTGCTGCCGCTGGCGCTGGTGCTGGGGGTCGCGGGAGGGCGCCGGCAGCTGCACCCGCACCCCGGGCCCGCCTGGCTGCAGTACTAACGGCAGTACCGCCTTGAACATCTCCTTGGCCTGCTTCCAGGTGCCGTCGATAACCAGCATCACATACAAGGGGTCCTTGTCGCCCGCAAGGAACGCCTGCTTTGGTGCAGGCTGGCCCCCCAGCTCCTGCTGCTGCTGCCGCCTGCCCTGCTGCTGCTGCTGCAGCGGCTGCGTGCCCTGCTCCTGCTCCCGCTCCTGGCCCTCCTCCTGCTGCTGCTCCTGGGTGCCCTGCTGCTGCTGCTGCCGCTGCCGCGGCGCATCCTTCTGCGCTGCCTGGTGCGCCGATGCAGGCTGCGGCGCGCCACTGGCACCAGCAGCGCCGTCGCCGCGGAGCTCGGCCCCCACGTCCCGCACATCGCGCGCGCCTGCGGCGCAGCGGCCGGCAGCCAGCAGGTCAGCCCAGCAGCCAGCAGGACGCTGCCCACCAAGCCGTCCCTCTTCTGCACCGGCGCTGAAACGCTGCTGAAGCAGGTGCTGCTGCGCCTCCAACCGTGCAGAGCACAGCATCACGGCCCTAGTGCGGCACATGACCTGCGCTGCCACCAAGCAGGCCTCCACCGCCGCTGTGCATGCAGCCCGGCGGGCCCCCTGCCCACCCCCTCACCCGCGCCGGGGAACAGCACCAGCAGAGGGTACCGCCCCTCCGCCGCGCCCTGCAGCGCCGCGCGCAGCGGCTCGTGCGGCGGGTGGGCGGGCCGGTAGCTCCGCGAGCGCAGCACCTCTACCCCCGCCACACACTTTTGCAGCACCGGCACCGTGGCCAGCCGCTTCCTGCAAGGCCAGGCGGCAGGGTGCGGCGTGGATTGTGTGTAGCGCGTGCCTGTGTGCTCGGTATGTGAGCGACAATAGATGCCACAGCGCAACGAGCAGGCGCCCAGGTGCCGGAGCTATCGCCAAGGCAGGCCCCAACTTCTGGGCCCGCAGGCCCGGCCTCACTTTTGCTCAAATGGGTGCTGCAGCACGATGACCTTGCCAGCCAGCTCCAGCGGCTCGTCAGGCAGGCAGGAGCACAGACAGACCGACTTGGGGCGCCTGCAGGCAGCACGGCGGCGCAGGAGCTGAGAGCCGTGCCACAGGAGGCAGCGGCGGCGGGCGGCGGCGCCGACGGTGGGGGTGGGCGCATGCCATCTACGGCTGCTTCTGATTGCGAATGTGCATGCTGATATCTGCTCAGGCGCTGGGGGTTGCCAGGGCATGCAGGCCTTCCCGCTCACTCGCATCGCTCGCAGTCCCGCTTTTTGAGCCGCCCCGGGGCATCTGTCGTCTGTGACTGTGAAACAGACTGGTGACCGTACTCCAGCGCGGTTCCGCCCTCGCCCGGCGGCATGCTGCACCCTGCTCGAGGCACTGCCTGCCTCACAAGCTGCTGTGGCGCCTTACACAAGCTTTTCAGGGGCCACAGATGTACAGGAAGCGACAAACGCATTTGGAGCGAGTGGCGGCAGGCAGTGCTTCATGGGCGTGGGGTGCCCGCCTGGCCGCCTGTGGCATGCGGGCGGGGGGAGCTGCACAATGACTATGAGCGCTTCGCCAGCCACATCGCTGCCGCGGGCCTGCCACCTGCAAGCCTGCCACCATCCTGCGCAGCGCCAGCAATAAATCAAGTTTTGTATAAGCAGCCTGTCAAATCGACCCGCCCATGCAGCTGCACCTGTTCAGAAACAGTACTAAGGACGCTGGTTAACCAAGGTTGACATCACTACAATCAAGCATTTATATAATTGAAACATGAGATGTAGCCTGCCAGCCACACCACACTACCGCGCGCACATCAGCGGCTTGAGCAGCCCCAGCCGTGCCGCCTGCGACGCCTCCTTGCCGTCCGCCTGCCAGGCCGCCAGCGCCGCCGACACAAAGCTGTTCCAGCGTTTGCAGGCCGCCTCGTCCGCGGCCAGTGCCGCCACCTGCTGCCGGCTGAACACCACCGAGCGGCGGTCCACCGCAAAGCGCAGGCCGCGGCCGCCGCCCAGCCGCAGCCGCACCTCGCCGCCGCCGCCCGCGGCCGCGGCCGCACGCAGCGTGTCGCCAAGCATCACGGCCACAGCATGCTTGTCCCCAATGAGCTGCGGCGGGTTGGCCGGCGGGCGCGCATCGCGCCACAAGTGCTTGTGCCGCAGCGAGGCGTTGAGAACCAGGGTGTCCTCCTGGCTGCCCTCGTCGGGCGCGCCAGCGTCACCCGCCTTGGCCGGAGCTGGTTTGGCCGGCCGGGCAGCCTTGGGAGCAGGCCCGGCAAGCCCCCTGGCTGCTGCTGCTGCGGCTGCTGGCGCGGGCTTGGGCTTCTTGGGGTCAGCGGAAGGCGGGGCGCCGCCCGCCTTGCGCTTGTGCGCCGAGCGCAGCATGCGGTTGGCAGCGGCGGCCTGCAGGGGGCCAAATTTGAGGAGCCTCCAAGATGAGAGAGCGGTATGGTGAATTAGCCAGCCTCTGTGAGCACACCAACCCATGGTTTCTGGGCAATTGTGCTGTCGGGTCAAGGTGCGGAGAAGCACAGCACCCTCAGCACCCCTCCTCCCCTCTCGCCCTGCGCACCGCATTCTCGCCGCGCCGCTGCTTGGCGGCGCGGCGCTCGGGCGAGGGGCTGCTGCTGCCGGCAGACAGGAAGGCCTCCTCCGCCTCGGCCCGAGCAGCCAGCTTCTGCTCCCAGGCCGTGCTGCGGAAGCTGGGGCGGTCCCTGTGCTGGTGGCGGCACTGCCGCTCAGCCTCGGCAGCCTCGGCAGCCTCCGCAGCCGCTGCCGCCGAAGCGGCCGCGGCAGACGCAGCCTGCGCCTTGGCTGCCTCCCTCTGCTCCTCCAGAATTGCCTCCACCTGCAGCCCGGCAACGGCGCCGACATTGGCACCCACATCAGCAGGCTGCCTGAGGCACAGAGCAGGACACAGGAGAGGGCCAGCAGCGGCGGCGATGCGCCACCGCAGCCTGGACCCCGCCAGGCGCCGCCGCCGCTCCCATCCCGCCGGCAGCGCTGCCGCCGCCGCCGCACCCTGGCCTTGACGGGCGCCAGGCGCTGGCAGCTGGGGTCGGATCCCAGCAGAAAGAAGTTCTCGGTCACCTCGACTATGTACTCATCGGCCTGTGGGGGAGGAAAGTGAAGGTACAGGAGGGGCAGGAGCGGTACCTGAGAGGCACACCACGGGGCTTGGCAACCCGCGGCGGCAACCAAAACCTGGGATGGCGTCGATAGCCCCGACACCCGCACCGGCGGCGGCAGCACGGGCAAGGCCGGGCGGCCCGCGGCAGCACGAGCGCTGCCGGGCAGCCCGCCCGCACCTGGGTGTGTACCGCCGCGTCCAGCGGCTCGCCCAGCGGCGGCAGGCGCCCCAGCCGTGCCAGGCGCAGGTACAGGCGGGCCATGGCTTCCACCTGCACCTCGCCGCCCCAGAACTCCCGGCTGCCGGGGGCGGCCTGCAGGGCGGCGGGCCAGCGGGCCAGGAGGCGTCGAGCTGGCGGGCGCGGGCTGAGGCTGCCAGCCGGCACGGCTGGGGCACTGGCGGATGCTGCCAACCAGAGCAACGCATGGCAAGGCACGTGGGCAGCGGGCTGTGCCCTGGCCGTGCCCCACGCACCTGGCGGGCGCGGCAGAGGCCCGCCCACGCGCCCAGCACCTCGGCCGCGTCTGCCGGCGCCAGGCGCAGCTGGTCTGCCGCGCACGTGTACCGCCCGTCCCAGCTCAGCTGCAGCGCGATGAGCACGCCAAAGATCCACAGCTGCAGGCAGCACCGCCGACAGTCAAGCTCAGCCGCAGCCCATCTTGACTGCCGCATCCCCGCGCGTAGACGCGGCGCGGGCAATGTTCACCGCGGTGCGCCTCCCGCCCGCGCCACCGACGCCCATGAGCCGGGCGGAGCCTGCCGGCGGCTGGCAGGCACGTGCGCCACCCCAGCCCAGCTGCCGGTGCTGCCGCGGGCGCACCTCGCGCTCCACCTCCGCCGCCGGCTCGCGCGTGGACAGCATCTGCACGGCCGCGCCCTTCACCGCCGCCTCGTCGCCCTCCATATCTGCGGACTTCTGGACGTAGGGCACCTGGGTATGGGAGGGATGGGGCGGCAGGTGCATGAGGGAGGGATGGACAAAGGAAGCGGGGGATGGGATGGGACAGGGCAAGCGCAGCCAAGGAGGGGGCGGTACAAACCGAGACTCCAGCAGCTGCTAACACGAGTAGCTGCCGGGCGCTGGAGCTGCCGGCGCACGCCGGTATGCTCACCGGCGTGCCGTTGTGCTCCAGCAGCACCCTCAGCAGCGTCTTGCCCATCTGCACCGCACGGGAGGCAGCGCCGCGGGCAGGCGGCCGCATCGGCATCTGGTGGGCTGCGCTGGCCGCGCCGCGTGCCTCCCAGTGCGCTGCTCCCTGCCTGCGATGCCGGCTTGCCCTGCTGCGCCTCCCTCCCTCAGGCCGTGCCTCGTCGTCTCCCAGCATCTCCCAGCGCCTCCCAGTGCCTCCACTGCCAGAGGCCGCACCTGGTAGGTGTCGTAATTGAGCTCTCCGACATCCTCGGCAGGCGACCGCTGCTTTCCAAGGTACAGCTGGCGGATCCTGCGCCAGGCAGCAGCACCGCGCGCACCAGCCAGCGCTTGTGCGCCCCCGCCCGTTGCAGGCAAGAGCGACAGGGCGCCTGGCAGCAGGCGGCGGCACAGCAGGGTGCAGCGTGTGCTGGTGGCTCTTCGGATTGAAGCCGCGGCCGGGGCCGCGGCGGCGCACCTGTGGGGCATGAATCCCACGGTACCCACCCAGGTGCTGCCGTCCCGCGTCAGCTCCACCCACTGGGCGCCGTTGAAGTCCCCCAGCTTCAGCACCGGCATGGCGCCCGGCTCGGCCCCACATGCACCTGCAGGCATGCAAGCCAGCGGGCAGGCAGCACCCAGTGCTGGCAGGGGTGGGCAAGGGGACCACACACCCCAGCAGCCGGCTCATTCCAGGCACGCCCCAGGGCTTGCGCCCACAGTGCGAATTGATTCTTACCATGATGTTGCTCAAGTTGATGTCTTGGTGCGTCACCCCAGCCCTCATCATTGCGTCCAGCTGGCAGCGGGAGCAGGGCGGGTGGTGGCACGCAGGGCACGTTAAAATCGTAACCAGGCAGCAGGCCGGGGGGCCCCCCGCAGCCGGCGCTGGCAACCCGCAGGTGCTGAACACACCTGCGCCAGCAGTGCCGCAAACTCGGCGGCGGCGTGGTGCAGCGGCCACAGGCGGCGGGGCGGCGGCGACGGCAGCGTGCGGCGCAGGAACGGGGCCAGGCTGGTCGCGCTGCACAGCTCCTCCACCAGGCCCACCACCTGTGGCGGGGCAGGGAAGGACAGCCTCTTGATCCAGGACGTCAACAAGGTGGCAAGCCCACGCACGGCCAGTGCGGAGGTGGTGGGACAGATTGGGCGCCTTTTTGGCGGGACCAACCCGACCCGTGTCTTGGCAGGAGTCGCAGCACCCAGCACCCACCCACCTGCATGGACTGCGCCTGCTGCACCGCATCGCCTGGGGCGGGCGGCACCATCATTGTGCCTTCGAATGTGTGGAAGACGCGGGGCTGGCCCTCCAGCAGCAGGTGGGCATTCACCTCGCGGTACCTGCACAAATGGCGTGGTGCCAACCGGGGAGTACGGACGGGTCAGGCTGCAGGACGTGGAACGGCCCAGCAGCCTGCGCAGCAGGATGATCCGCTGCAGCTGCTTCCTCTGCTCCCCATTGCCTGCAAGAGCTATGCTTCAGCAGGGAGGGCCACAGCAGCATGCCCCGGCTCAAGGCGTGGGTGCTGACGGCCAGTTGCGAGTCCCACCCACCAGTGGCGCCTCAGCATGTTCTGCTTGTGCTGGCGCTCCCGGCCCACCAGGCCATTGAAATCCGCGCTGCACACCTTGATTGCCTGCGGCAAGAGCAAATGAAGATTGGTTCCATCCTGATTCCAGGGGCAGGCTAGCCAGCTGCTGAGCCGGCGCTCTGCCATCACCGGTGCCCGGTCAAGTGGGCCGCCCCGCTCACCACAGGGTGCCCACAGGCTGGCGACTGCCGCTGTTTCCAGCGCGCCAGGCTCCACACTCTGCAAAAGGAACCCTTGCCGAGGAACCGGCACTCTGTTGCGAGCAGGGCCTGCACCGATTCCACCGAGACTTCCGTGAAGCGCTTGCCGACCAGCTGCGGGTGCCTCCGCGTGCTCTCCTCCAAATTCAGGAGCGGCTGCGCCATCGCGTCATCGGCGGAAGCGAGCGCCGGTGGTCCAAGGCGCTGGAAACAAGTCAGCGGCAATGGTGCAGCTGCTAGGGAGGCAAAATGGTCAAAGAATGGGGGACGCTTGGGATGGGCCTGCTCTCCCCGCGCCCCGCTGGCGCAGCGGCGGCAGCGGCGGCGCCCTGCCTGGGGCGCGTCAACTTTTGCCTCCCCTTTGACGAAAGCGCCACGCGACTGCATAGAATGCATCAGGTTGTGCGTGATTAAAGCCCCGCTCACTGCCTCTCTCCCACATTGCAACAAACCAGCAACAAACCAAGCAACAACCAGCTTGCGCCCGCTGCCCCGCCCCGCCCCGCCAGCCACACCGCACCCCAAGCAGCAGCAGCAAGGATGGCCCGCCCCGGTGCTCTGGCGCTGCTCCTTCTGCTGGTGGTGGGTGCGGCACTGGCGGCGACGGCGGAGGCCCGCAAGCTCAAGGCGGATGCCGCTTTTGGAGCCGGCCGCCTGCACCTGGTGCTCGCCGACGTGGCGGCGGCGTGGCTGGGAGGGTCGGCCGCAAGCCACACCAGCGGCATCGCCATGCTGCTTGGCCAGCAGCTGTCGGCGATGTCCAGATTCACGGACGAGCTCTAAATGTTTGTAATTTTGTGAGAGCATGAGTTGTGATTGCCCCACCACCGCCTGTAAAGCACAAAACTCTTAAGGCAGGCAGCGGGGGGAGAGGGCAGGCAGGCAACCACTCTCGCCCCACAGCCTGCTTGCACAGGGGCCCCTTCTCTCTCCACCTCCTCCCCGCTTCCACCTGCTTGCTCTTCCCAGGTTCTGAAAGTTGGATTTACAATAGATCCGAGAGAGCACCTCAGCAGCAGGGTGGGCTGGGGGGAGGCAGTTGCACAGCTGGCGGGTGTTGCTACAAGCGCGCACGCGACCAAAAAATATCCGGTGATGCGGACCCGGCGCGGGCTGCGTGCCAGGGTACCGAAGAAGCTAGCGGGCTAGGGCGGGGGCGCGCAAGGCGCGCGCCCCCAGCGCGGCCCGCCACGCCACCGCACGCCGCTGGGCGTTTTGTTGGGATTTGGGCAGCAGTACAGACGGCAGGACGACGACAGAGTGAACCAAATGAATGGGGGCGGGGCGGGGGTGCAAACGAAATGGGCTGACGAGCGACGGCACAAAACTGCGGTGGCGGCACGACAAGGGGCCCGCGCGCCCGGGCGGGCGCGCGGGGGGGGTGGGCGCTGCGCGAGGCGGCAGGCCCCAGGGCCTCTCGTGCTGACGGCGGCCCCGGGCTGGGCGCCCCGCGCGCCGGGCGCCTCACTCCCAGTTGGCGGCGGTCACCTCTGCCAGGTCGACGACGCGCTGGGAGTAGCCCCACTCGTTGTCGTACCAGGCC